TCCATGTTCAAAGAAGCGTCATTTCATTTGTGAAAAGAAACTTGCATCATTATAATACAGCTTCAAACAATATTATGACAACAAAAGCTTTGACGACGTCATATATTTACATACAAGCTGAAATCTATGGAAGTTTAATTTTATGACATCGTGTGTTTACGTACATAAGTCGGAGTCGTAGTGCAACTGGGGATCGATGTACTCATGTATATTATTTTGTGGCGAAGTGAATCACCTTCTAACTTAAAAAAATAACCACTGTCATAATTTGATAGGTCAAGAAGTTGTTTTTCTCAAACTTTAATATGCCTTTTAAGGAAAGAAATGAATTTCTTTAATGATGGTATACAAACCTAGCTTGGGAAAAAAAGGTGTTTCGGAGCATAATTTGAAGGTAAACAAGATGAAAATTCAAATTTAAACTGTCATTTTCAATGTAATATTACGAAAACCAGTCGTGAATATTGGAATTTTTTATCATTTTCAACAAAGGAAATGTATCCAGATTACCTACAGTCTCTCGGAAAACGGTAACTTGTTCGTTCATGGCCTCTTCCTTAAATTAATATCAAATTTTAAATAGGTATCGGATTACTTTTCATATTTAATTTAAACAATATTTTATTCACTGATGGTATCGTGAATAGGATTGGGCAGCATGCATAGCCTACATTTAGGTCAAGGTACAAAACAAATAGTAATAATTAGAGAATGTACAACAGAAGAGAAAAAAAAACACAAACAAAAATGAACAAAGTAACATAGAGAAAAAAATGCAGAAAAAGTCATATAAAGAAAAATTGTACAAAAGAGAAAAATAGAATGAACAAAATAACAAAAAGGGCAAATTACAGGGGGGGGGCAAAATACAAAGTAGTACCGGTTTTGGAGCATTTCTAACAATTAAAAATTACACCTATATCTGTATATGACAGTGTTTTATATAAAACGTTTTGTTGCTGCTATAAATGTATGTACAGCTTCAAATATTTGTATATTAATATCAAGTCCATGGTTAGAACTACCATTTAAAAATAAATCACGTTCAGGAATATTGTCACAGTTTATAATATCATGTGTTTTTTGAAAAAGTACATCTCTTGGATTTGTATATTTTGGACAAACAATAAAGTAATGATAGGCATCTTCAAAACAATCAGTACAATGTTCACACATTGGATTTTCTGCTAAATGTTGATCGTATAAATCTGCTTTCAGATTACTAGCATTGTTCCTTATCTGGCAATGTATTATGTTATATTTTCTTATTCCAAAATTAAAAAAGTGCAATACTTTTCCTACAGAAATAAGATTTTAAAAGACTTTTTAATGAACATATTCCTGGGGCATTTTTGATATAAACTGGCAAGGTATTCCATTGTTTGACTGTAAAGGGAAGAAAACTCTCCATATAAGATGTTGTTCTAATATTAGGAATTTTAAATTGAACATTATTAGTTCTGAGATTACTGTAAATCACTTTTTATTTGCGAGAACTTTATTTTGTCGTAATTACGCCAGACAGTGTGCTCGCGAAAATTTAATTCTCGCGTATAATAGTATTCCTTTAGAATGTATAGAGCAATAACCACAATTCGCGAAAATTTTGTCTCGCTAATCAAGAGTCAATGACTATCTCGCGAAAATAAGGTGTCGCGAAAATTTAGTGATCTACAGTATACGAATGACTTAATGGGCGATAAGGTTCAATCAGATCATACAGATACTGAGGAGAATAACCATTAATAATTTTACAAAACAATATTAACTTATGAATTTTCTCCTTGTTTTAGGAGATCCCATCCAAGTTCATCGTACAATTTTGTACGAGAAGAGTTACATCTGAATCCAGTGATAATTCTACCTGCTTCAACTTGTATATCTTCTAAGAGTTTAGAATCTTTTTCAGAACAATTGTCCCAAACTACATCAGAATACTCTAGCACAGGTCGAACAAAAAAAAATTATTTTAATGAGTGTTTTACGTGAAACCTGGTATATGAGCATTCTAAGAATGTTTAATCTTTTTGAAGCTTGTTCGTGTATTATCTGTATGTATGATGTCCACATAGCATCTTTTAATTTTCATATGATTTCAAATTGAATGCAATGGAAAAAAAAAACTATTTCTTCATAATTCTTCTAAAGCCGTACAATACGGGAAAAAAGAAAGTTGAAATTGATTATGAAGTCATAATGGATCAAGCAAAAAAAAAAATAGTCTAAAGTGATTTACTAGATCTTGACTTTAACGCAAAAGAAGTATAAAAAAAAATTATTTCCTATTTTCTCATTTCGAGACGGCTAAAAAATTGAACACTATCCAAAACCAGCAACGTTTATATTGGTTATAAGTATTAACATTTGACACTACGGAAGCCCATTTAGGACCCATCAAAAATATATTTGAATCTTTCGAATATTTATGACAAATTAAATTCGTTATGACAATTTAACGATTTCTTGATTTCGTTATAATGAATTTAATTTGTTATAACAAATTTGTTGAATTTGTGAAAAAGTTTTCAAAAAACGTTGATACACCTTTTAACAAATTCTAAAACTTGAGACAATGAATTGAGTTCGTTTAAACGAATTCTTTAATTTGTTATAGGGAATGAAAATCGTTAAAACAAATTCGACAAATCTCCATAATCTTACTTATATATATTTTTCTGTAGTCCCTGATTGTTGAATTTGATTTCACGAATTTATAAATAACTTAAGATTTTTTTTAAACGAATTTGTTTTTTTTTTAAACAATTTTTTGAATTTGTTGAAACAAATTGTATTTGTTATAACATTTTTTTGAGTCCGTTTAAATGAATTCAATTTGTTATCACAAATATTTGAATTTGAAATTACGAGTGCAACAAATTTGTAGATTTAACAGATTTAAATTGTCTTTACGAATTCAAAGATTATATTAAAACGAATTAAATTTGATATAACGAATTCAACAATTCGTTGTATCGAATTCAAATGTATTTTTGATAGGTCCTAAAAGGGTTTCCGTACGAATCTTACTTGTTTTACCGGCAATATTTTTCAAAATTCGTTTAAACGAAATTAACTGTTTTAAGAATTATTTGAAATCATTGTAAGAAGCTTACCAAATCTGTTAAAACAAATTTAATTTATAATTACAAATAAAAAAAAAATACTAGTAATTTGTATGGAATTCGTTACAAGAAATTCTTTTCTTGTTATTTGAAAGTAAAAAAAAAATATTTTTGATAAGCCCTAATTGGGCTCCCGTACAAATCCAAGTAAGAATTAGGTTGCTGCATAAAACTAATTAGTTTAAATGGCAAGATGTCATTTATATAATGTCATCAGATGTCTATTGAGCAGTTAGGATTTCTTCAGCATCACAGAGGTTCAGTTTAAAAGGCCTTATTTAAAAGACATACGACTTTGCCTTAAGCTTTAAACTATCATGCAATAGGAAAAACAACAAACGCTACACACCTGTACGCTCGTATGTTCTATCGACTTAGGTTTGTCGCGAACAAGGCGTGAAGTTAAATCCACAATTTAGACACTAATTATAAAAATGGGTAGTTTTTAAGATACACACTCTGCTCCTTCTTCCCAATCGCTACAGTTAGGATAACATGTTTTTTTCTACAGATATAATAGAGTTTGAAGTTAAATATACGGAGATAACGAAAAGTATTCAAGATCAAAAGTAAATAATACAAAATAGGAGCAGAGCAAACACAGACCTCGAAAACATTAGAGGTGGGATCAGGTGCCATGGAGGAATTGGCATCCTTTGCCGACCGGCCTTGTGCCCCTTGGCATGATCAGGAAATAACGGAAAAAGCCGTCGTCAATTAGATGTATAAATAATGGACTAACAGTTAGTATGAAAAACATCAGTCAGCATTTCACTCAATGATAAATTGTGCTGACAAGGTTATTGTATCGACCATAGTACTTAAACGAGACTGCTGATATTATCGTTTCATCAAAGTGTTTGTCAATAATTGACCTTGTTTTAGAAAGTCTTCATACGACGAGCATGCTCTTGCGTATCGAATCAACTGTGATATATGAATTCCGTATGCAGGTGATGAATTCATTGATTTATAGGTTAGCTTTCTTCGACTGTCTAAAAAATTGTGCGTAATATTCGTAATTCCAAAAAGAATTATCGTTAAATATTACGAAGGTTGTCTATAAATTTCTTGGACACATCCGATACACTACAAGTGATGACGTGTCAATAGGAGTGGAAATTTGTCGAAAGAAACTTTATTGTAAAAAAAAACCAAACAAATTAACAACCACAGTCACCAGAATAAACATTTTAAACACAAAGAATGCACGGTCCAGTCCAACTTGCAGTAAATTTACAGCAACGTGAAGAAAAACGATTTCATATTTTCAGTAGTTTCCCACTTCTTATACAAATTCTCTCAAGGTGAAAGCATCTTTGGTAAACATAAACTACTTTAAAATCAATGAACAAAAAAAATCTCAAATTATTTCTTGCTATTTGAATTAATAGTATGCATCAGATGTTGTTTCAAATATATCAAAATATAATTCTATGACTGAACTGTTCTTCAAGGATATCCATGATTCCTCACCGATTTTTCTGTTTGTTATTGAAACACATTCCGTGCGCTTGTTATAAAATTTTTCCTGTGTCTAATATGCGATAGGAAACATATCAGAAAATGGCAATAACAAAACTTTCTTTACTTATATTTATTTCTTTGTATACATGCAACTTCTTTTCGATTGCCTTTGACTTGGAAGTGCGTAACCCAACGTCACTCATACATTTTAAATGTAAACAGAAATACACATATACAAAAATCCAAAAAGAATAGAAATGTGCGGCTGCTGTTGATTAAAATTTTTATTCCAGTTGACATAACCTTTCATTTAACTGACGTTGACTTTAAACCAGCGATCATTTCATGAAACCAGTTTAGAAAATTATAGGAAAAAAGCTTATCACTTGATCTTGTTTGAAGATTATCCAATTAAGTAGACTTTTCACACAAGTAGGGACGTTCCTGGTCACAGTAAAAGTCATTCCATTCTCCATCATTAGCTGTGCTAGTAAAAACACATTCTTCGCTGTCGTCCTTTGGTTCTTTATCACGAAAATTGTGATAACGAAATTTTTCCCTGTTTTGAAATTTTTCCCTGTTTTTTTCCCACGTACATTCCTCAGCTTTTCCACTATTGCACTTTCCACCAATCCAAAACACAGTGGCGGTCCATTCGGTTATATCTGTACCTTCTTTTATGGAAATAAAAAAAAACTAAAATGATAGAATTCAAGCCACAAGTTGTGAACTAAGACCAATGAATATAAATAAAATTTAGATTATTCTTTTGTAGCCATGCAGCTAATCTCTATTAAAGATGGTTTTAAAATTGAAAAGAAGTCAATCATTTAATAATCAAAATATTTCTTCAAAAAAAAAAATATGTGCTTATATATGTATCTGCATGTACTTTTTACCAAACCTTTATGTAGTTATATATACAATACGTGTACTTTTTAAACTATTACAATAAACAAAACGTTGTCTAGTTTTTCTTGACATGACAATTTCACTGTCCGCATTTTTACGTCAAATTTCAACAATGATTTTGAAACTGACGGTACATACGAATTTCAGAAATAAGAAGGAATTTATAGAAAAATTTAAAGTTTAAAACAACATCATTTTCTTTCATCCGATAATAAACTTTCAAAAAATCTACTAGACAATAGTCTCCATCATGCAGACGTATACCTCTATCACACAAATCGAAGCGTTGTGATGAACAAAACTACATTCTATCCATCCCTCACGGTAGCTCAGTCGTTGACTGTGACTGACCCAAGTCGATTAAGAGTGAATAACAACCGTTCCTTGCGCTCGGTACTTTGAAGTCCTTTGGTTGAAAGCTTAAAACAGAGGCCCCGTTCACAGCAGGTATTTGCATGATATATTTTTTTCGTTTTCTAGCTCAGCTTTGACGCATATACTGACGAAAAATTAAGCATGATAGCCTGAACATTTTTTTCGCAATTGAAATAATAAGTGTTACATAGATACACGCAGCAAACATTGAAAAACTTGCATAATTCATTTGCTATTGCATTAATTTTTATATTTATTTATTTTTTTCAATCTTTATATGATAAACGTAAATGCAGGGGATGTAATTTTGTATAATAATTTATTTATTTTTTATTCCTGTTTGTTTGAGTTCAAAAGTGTAAATAATATTTAAACTTTACAACTTACTGAACTTTGATGCAACATACACATCAAAGAAATATGACTTTTCATTTCCCTTGAAGCTCTTTATAGCGCATTACGAGTTTCTCTAAGGTTTAGTGTAAAGAATTACCACGAAATATTTGAAAAAGATGAAAAAATTTCTTATTTTATGAGATTTTGGCAAGTTTCATGTATGAAATAGATTGATTGATTTATTGATTGTATTTTGTTTTACGTCACATTCGAGAATTTTTCACTAATATAGAAGTCATTGAATACCGGTGAAGGGCTTCAAATTTTGACCTTCCTTCGGAACTCAAGGCCATTGAGCAGTGAAGGGTCTTTACCGTGCCAACGCCTGCAATAACGGATGGCGAAGGAAGAGTTGCTGTCGATTTTTATCAACTGTATTGCGTGATTTGGCGTTAGCAATAGGTAATGGTATATGTGTTACATTCTCTGTAATGACTTGCAATTTCAATTAGGAGGTGTGGCATGCATAGTCTCAGAATTTCACCAAACTTTCAATGACAAAGGTCTTTGATATCAATAACTTAAATCATTCAAATATTGATTACTTCGTATATCGGTTACCATGGCATGTCTTGAAGTTTGACAACGGCATTTTTAAATATCTTTAAAGCCCAATAGTTACATGTAACATTTGCGGCAAAGCAAACAATTAGCAAGAACTATTTCCAAACGTTGAAGGCCTGATGTCTTGAATGCATGATACATGATTATGTTTGGTAAATCAACTATTACATACGTTTCTTTGGTAACCAAGTATCCAAAAGTAAAAAGAAATATGCATTGAATGAAATGTGACCAAATAATAGAGAAAAAAAAACCTTGAAACATATACCATTGACAAACTATTCGTTGGTAGTGGTTGCCATGGTTTATATACCATAGAGATCAGATCTTTTAAGAAGCACATTTCTAAATAACTGATAATCAATTCTCAAACTTGTTGGTTGTGTACATATTTTCCAATTAAAAAAATCAAATTAACGAGGCCCGATCTAGTTGAAAATTACGAAAACGGAATGATAAAATTTTTTAATTCTTGGAAATATACTTGTATGTTTTATGCTTAGAAAAATTAGGATGAAATTTTGTTACCTTGCCTTTATTGTAGTGAAATGGGGGCACTGTCAAGATATGGACCATTTTTCGTGTTTTTATACACAATTACATACTAAAACTCTTCAAAAAAACAAAGAAATTTACAAATTAAAAAAAAATACAGGATGAAATTCTTTGTTTTTCACATATATCATGCAATTTTCATTCCTCTTATAAAAAATGAAAAGAAAATTGGCGGTACCCTTTATTGCAATGAAAAGGGGGCATGTCAAAACACAAAATTTAGATTTATTCTATCCGACTATGTATTTTGTAGGTCGCAATGGGTTTACATAACACCAACAAACGATTGCAATACTGTATTCGTTTCTAAAAAATAAATTATTCTTACATTATGAAATTATTTTCTCGCCATGCTTTATTTTTCTCTTAACACGCGACCTTGTTTTACGTGGAAAATAGGGGTAGAAAGGGGGGGGGGGGGGGGGGGTAAAGGCGACAAAATTGCTATTTTTACTAATATTATGTAATATATAGAAAAATTAAATATTTCGGGGGTTTAACTTAAATGATTTATAGACTTATTTTATTTCTTAAAACTGAAGATAATCCATGCATATTTAAGTCCGCAATAAAAAGAGTGTGTATAAACACTTCAACATGTTCAAAGAGAAAGACTAAAATTGTTTACTTTTAGTTGCAGCGTTTGTTTTTTTAAACTCACAAATTGAAATAAAACAAGATAAAATTAATAAATCTGTACCAAAAAAATTGATCCCTCAAAATTATTTAGGTCCCAAAGTTGTTAATTAATCTAAATATTTAAAAAAAAAAAAAGAAGAAGAAGAAATGCCAGCTTTCAATGCATATTCTATAGAGCTACCAGGTAAGCAAGATCAGCGAAACAGTTTAGCGCAATTTGACGTCATTTTAATTGTGACGTTATTATGTTCAATTGTGACGGCAGTCAAGGGTATTGTGACGTGCCTGAGTCGACGCTGCGTTAAAACGTATGCGCAGATCAAGTAGATCGGGCCTCGTTAAATTCATTGAGTAGAGCCTTTCTATGGAAATACATGTAAGCAGAAAACGTATGCTTAAAATCTGAAAAAAAAATTTTGTTTCTTTTGATACGTGCCTTTTGATGTAGATTCCCAAGATGTTTATTAAATATATATATATATATATATATATATATATATATATATATATATATATATATATATATATATATATATATATGAATTAATTTGATCACAACATGTATTGGTAACAATCCTCTAAAAACTTATGTCCAACTAGCATTCTGCATTTTTAAATGCAGTTTGAAAGAGGATGTGAAGTTTTTGACTTCCTCCCTATCAAAACAGCTCAAGTACGCAGCGACTTGACGTCATTTTCAATTATGACATCATACATTTGTAGTTCAGAGAAGTGCATGCACAGAGTACACTGCAATATTCTCTGGGAACCCTTATCGTAGCTGCGTTTGGAGACAAGGTCTTCCAACAAACTATTGGAATTCCAATCGGTACCAATTGCTCTCCATCATTAGCAGACCCATTCTTGTATTCATATGAAGCAGAATCTATGAAAAATCTTATGTGTGAAAAGGAAAATTATTTTCTGTGGCATTCTACTCAATACTTAGATATATCGACAGCGTATTGTCAAATAATAATGTAGTCCGGTCAATCTAGCTCAAAATCACCCAAACCTCAAACAAATTGCAACAGAAATTATTCCAGTGGAATTTTTTAATTTATAATGTGCCTTTTGATATATCAAAACTCTAGAAAAATATATTTGTCCAAACATCATTTTTTTTCAATTATCAAAAAAATCCTATGTTTGTTACAAAATGCCAATAAATCTCCTTTTGAATAGATATTCTATTTATGCATAAAAATAGTTTTGCCAGGTATATGATCTTGAAATTTTTTGTCAGCCATGCAGAAATGCGTCTGCAAACTGAAACCGGTGATTATTTCATTAGTTGTCATGAATTCCCGTTCCCATGGCAACAGAAATAATAGAAAAATAAAACCTTTCCAATGTAGTACGGCTTTGTGCAGGAACAAGAATATGTAGCTATAGTAGGAATGAATTAGTATAGTTTTAATTTATCACTGAGGACCTAAGATAATTTTTAAAAAGTTATATGGGATAATTTAAGCACAGATATCCAAAACTTTTTTTAAAGGGGGGGGGGGGGCATCAAATCTCACAGATGTTAAGTCTTATAATTTTTTGACAAGCTAAAATGAATAAACAAAGAAGTAATAAGAATTTAAAATAACTAGTTAAAATAAATTTATTACAAGGGATATGCGATTTTATCGATATGCCGGTATATCGCAATTTTTTTTTTTGGGGGGGGGGTGGAGGGGGGGGGGTAATACGTATTGTGATGCGGAGACCTAAGTACTGGTATCTAGGTACATTTCATAAAGTCCAGAAATTATTCATTTACTTATTCAACTTTTCAAATAAGAATTAAGGAAAGCCTAAAAAAAATGTGAAAGGTGAAAAGAACAGCACCTTACCATCCAAACATGATCAAATTTATGTAGATAAAAATTTCAAAAAAGTGAAAATTTGTTTTTCTAGCATATTTAAAAAAAAAAGTCATCTAAATCATTGTGAAAAATTGTTTGTAAGAATATGCTATTATCGTGATATTTTCAATTTGGAAAAAAAACGTGATATATTGTGATACGAAATTTTTGGCAATACTCATCCCTATATAAAATTACCTCAAACTTCAAAACCTCTTTCAGGGGATGAGGTGGTCTATTTTTATAAGGTATATGACTTGACATTTTAATGAGTCCTGGCCACTGCTGGGGAATAGGTTCATGGACATTACATACCGGAAGAACCTTTTAACTCGAAAAAATTCAGAGGGAGGGGGCTCTCCACGACACATCTACATGTACCTTTATAGCATTGCATATGCATGGGACATTCATTCGAAATATGTTATATCTATAGTTAAATAAAACCTGAACGAAGTCTTAAAATTCAGATCCCCCCATTGCCTTTATTTGAAACGTTAAAGATATAAAAGAAAAAACATAAAATCCACTGAAGATGCCATAGAATCCCTAAAAATGCATTAATGATTATCTTGAAACTGGAACTGGTTCCTCTCCTAAATGTTAACCTCAACATAGTATCCGAATTGCTTCTCACTATATTCAATATAATGTCCATTGCTAGTTTTTATATTTTTTCGGATTTATTTTGTAATTGTGTGTGTGGTGGTGGTGGTGGTGGTGGGGGGGGTATCACTTTACTAATTAAGCTTTTGGCACTTTGAAGTTAACGCTGCAGGTCTTCGGGATGAGAGCGTTTCATGTTACATACATGTAGTCGTTGGCATGATAAAAACCCTCACTGCTCAATGGCCCTAAGCACCGATGTAAAAGTCTAAATTTGAAGCCCTTAAGTATATGTTGAAGTTTTTATTTAAGTAAAAAGTTCTCAAGTGGGGCGTAAAACAACACACAATCAACCAGTCTGAGTCCTTTGGATGAGACCTAGGCCTATAAACCGAGGTCCGAGTAAAGGACAAAATTTGCAGCTTTCCACTTGCAAGTACATGGTGGCGTCTCCACAGTAGTGAAAAATTCTCAAAAGGGATGTTAAGCAACAATCAAACAAACTAGCACTATTTATCTATGGCATAGAGTCTTTCCTATGACAATTAAAATTTTCTATGCAGTTTTAGATTATAAATTCTACTTAATGTGATAGAAAATAGTATTTTTATAACATTTCCTTTATATGCATGTGTATTTAAATAACTTTTATTTAAGTAAAGAGTTCTTAAGTAGGGCGTAACACAACATACTATCAACCAGTCTGTTGGGCCCTTTGGATGAGACCTATAAACAAAGATCCCTCAGTCTGCTTTAATTTGGATAAGTCGAAAATATTGCGTAGTTTTTAAAAAGCTGAATTGCACGAATCTATTACGTAATAGGATATGTTTTTAAAAAAAAATATATGAAAATCTTACAATGCGGCCTATTTCAAAGACTTCCCATAAAATTAAATCCCTTGCGTGACCCTACTTGGCTTCAGGGTTATGTTCAGAAAAAACCAGAAGCCAAATGTGACAAAGTGATTCATAATGTTTCAGAAATACGTTTACAAATTATAAATACAGTATTAAAAATAAACTTTACATAATGAGCTCCATTGCAAAACTAAATACACACACACACACACACACAGGTGAATAATAAGGCCATCTTTAAAATAATACTCGTTTAATGCAAATAAACAATTTAATAAACAAATAATGCTTCTCCAGACTCAGGGTAAAATTATTTGTAAAATCCTTTTCCCAGGAAATTTCAACATATTTGTTGATGAAATAAGAGGTATAAAAAATTTCATGTCCTGGAATGTAAAAGAAAAGTTTTGAGACGGGCCATTTTAGTCAGTCGGTCGGGAGAGGGCAACCAAACATTTTTTTCAGATGTTCTAATCTATATTACATGTATTTTTACTAGTAAAGCACTAATAGAAGTCAAACAACAAAAGTTTAACTTTAGATAATAAAATATTTTTATGTTGCAATAAAACCACTGACGACTCTCCATAGATTTTCTCCCCTAATGTTTCAAACATCTGGTAAAGAAGACGTTAACACTACATTTATTTAAGTCATATATAAAATTTTCAAATCTTATATTTTCAATAAATAGGTGAATTAAAAATCCTGGAATGTTTACAAAATGAATTATTAATTTTATTATGCTTGTTTAAAATAAAAAGAGGTATGTTTACAGTGGTAAAAATTGTCTCCCTTGTTGCATATGGTAGCACATTTCTGCAATACATATTTTTTTAAACTAGTAAATATTTATTTCTAAAAAAGACATCTTTCGCCTTTATATATTTTTCTAGAGTCTTTATGTTAATTAGAATACAATTTCCTAATTATAAATAAAGAAAAATAATTCTGTTGCAATTTGTTTGAGGTTTATGACAGTTTGACTGGACTAATGGTAATTTCCATTCCTATGTCGATATGATATATCCTGGAAAGCTTCAGATAAAAGATACCACGGAATCTGACACTTCTGTCTCATACTTAGATATTTTACTTGAAAAAGACGTTAATGGTAATCTAAAACCAAGCTTTATGATAAAAGTGATGACTTTAACTTTTCTATGACCAACTTCCCTTACCTATGCAGCAATATATTAATCGTTAATTCATTACTTTTACACTGAATTGACGACGGGTTTTTCCATTATTTCTCGATCATAACAAGGAGCACATGGCGGATGTGACCGGTCAGCAGGGGATGCTCAATCCTCCTAGACACCTGATCCTACCTCCGATGTGTTAAGATCCGTGTTTTCTATGCTCCTGTTTTGTATTGTTTTATGGACTTTGATATTAAATACTGTTCGTTATCTCCTTATCCTTCAGCATAAGTACTACAAGGTGTTATGTTTTTGTAAGAATGGTTTGTTTACTCTTCCATGTTTTTTATCAAGGCTCAATAGAGATTTAAAGTAGCTAAAAATTTAGTTTTTTCAAACTTTTGCGGCTGTAACCATGGCAATCAAGAGAAATGGCAACGACATTTTTTTATATATGTTTCTTGTGTCAAGTACCAAGACTGTTTAAAGTTTCATCAAAATCAGTGACCGTGCGTGGCAAAAAGTTTAAGTGGTTACAGGGAATGGCTATTAAGTTTTTTCCACCATCCTATGATGTCATAGGTTTTTTTGCAAAAACTGTTATTAATTTAAATTTATGCCAAGTAGAACAATATCTCTTATAAGAATGCTTTTCAATAGGTGTAATGATTATTATTCTTAAGTAAAAGAATTAAAAAATGTTATTTCTCTTTTTTAAATCAATTATTCAATCTTTAAAAAATGTTGACATGGGCAATAACTCCTTCTCAGGTATCTTCAATCAGGCATTTTATTTATTGTTCTTCTTATGTCTGGTATTCACAATTCAAAAGTGTCTTAGAAGTAGCAAGTATTTCGGAACTTTCAGCATCAGAATTATGCATTTGAACCATTTTTACATACTTTTTATCATAATGTTTACAGAAAATGTACAATTTCTGTATGTTGACATACACTTCTGTTCGTTTATGTCTCCTATCCTAAATAATTTGGCGATCTACACATTTTTTGCAATAATTAGTAAATTTAAGCTATATTAAATGAAAATAAATGCCGTTTTTGTACTTTGGACCATTAAAATTGTGAGGGTGGAAAACATTTTAATACATGACTGCAACCGCGGTAAAGTAGTATTTACCAATGCAGATAATATGCTTTTATCGCAAAAAATAACAAAAACAGGTTACCATTTCATCAAATAATTTCAACAAGTAATTGTGCTTGATAAGTATGCCTTAAAGTGGATACCAATAATAAAGTTCATATTGATTCCATGAAGTTTATAGAGGTTATTCAATGTTTTATAGTGGAATTTATTTCACGAGTTGAACAGGGTAACACAGTGTCATAGTCCATGACGTCATAGTAGAGCGATTGAGACGTCATAACTTTAGCGATTGTGAGATAAACATTGATTTCAACAGCGTAATTGGAGAAACTAGGCAATTTTAGCCTCTGTCAGGATGGTTTACTTACCCTCTTTATCTTAAAACAGTTCAAGGAGTATTTCTTTACAACACTCTTGATTAAGGGAAGGAAAATCGAGAGTTTTGCCGAACTACTGATATTCTTTCACACTGTGACAGGATATCATTTTGATATCGTATCACACGTTGACAGAATATCACCTTTATTCAATAAATAAATAACAGTATTTCATGGTTGAAAATGTAAAAAAAATTACAGTATTCCACTGTTGAAAAGGAAATGATATAGGTTATATAATAATTTTATTTTGATTAAGGGAATATACTTCTCCTTACCAAAGAAAGGCTTCAGTAAATTTTCCGTTATCCAAGTGTTTTCTTCCTTTGATTTTATCTCTACCAAAGATGCCCCCTCATTTTCACAGGCCACCTGAAAGGGGATAATGATAAGTATTTTTTTATTTGTGTAGAGATAAGATTGTTTTATTGTGTAATTATTAAAACAAAGTTAACATTGGCATGAGGTATTTGAATATATTCATATTTTTAACAGCACTGCAGGATTGGCAACAAATTAAAAATATTTAAAACTGATTTAAAAAGTGTTCCTCGTATTGTTTTTACCAAGTAGTTCCTTATGATCTTACAGTAATCAATCATATCTTTTGGAAATTGTTTTTAAAATTATAAAAACAATTAATTATTCTTTCTTGAAAGTATTTATTTTATACAAAGTAACGCTTCATTTTAGTGATGTTCCTGGAGGAATTTATTTTTTTTTTTCTTTTGATATGTGTCATTGCGTGCCCGTTACCTTTACTGGATGTTTCTATATTTCACGAGGAACACTTACATGTATCTGTGACATTTGAATAAAATAAGAAGAAAAATCACAGAATTATGACCCAAAATTCTCTTTAAAATATAAAAAATCGGAAGCACAGTAAACAGGATCTTTGAAAAATCAGAGGTGGGATGAGATTCCATGAAGGAGAAAACATCTCTTGTCGATCGTTTACACATGCAGCTTTGGCGTGCAGTGTTTAGATCTTCCATAAAAGTGTATGTGTGCTTCAAAACATTTTAGGTCCATTAAGTTTGTCAAGTGTTAAGCCTATTTAACTCCAACCCTTTTTTTATTATATGGAAAATATTGAATAAAAACCTTTTACGATCTACGAACTCTTGATTTTTTGTTGGCAAAATTAAAATGCTTTTGTTTCATAAATTAAAAGGGGTACTTATTCCATATATACAAGTATCAGAACATTTTTAGAGAAAACTGTATTTAAATGTATAACTCGTTGTACAATATAATGTATTTTGTATGCTGAAATATTCAGGTGGAAGATGCTTTGACTCAAGTGGTTAAGGGCAGCATATCGCTATAAGCTCAACTGCACGTTCAGAAAAATCTCATTAGTTTTTTTAAAACAATATTTCAATGTTGCATTCAAGTAATCAATAACATTGTTTTTAGAAAAAAAAAACACCCTGTCGCGCTATTAACACGCCGTCACGCTTACACAGAACTCGCCCTTGCGTTTTCACAACATTGAAATATTTCAAAAAATTTAATGAGATGGAGATAACAGGTTTCAGAGTTTTAAATGTTTTATATGATTTCTTGACATACCTTAGCATCTGTCCATTTAAGTTTTTTGGAACGAACCATATACAACTTGCCTTTAAAGGGTACCCATACCTCTTGAAACTCTAGGAGATATACAATGGAAATTAAAATCATAACGTGTATAGAGCCCAATATTGTAAACTGAATCCTGCATTGAAAATTATTGTCGATAAACAGTCTTTGGATAAAAAAAATCGCAAAATTCGATAAGGTCACCGATCACAACATCTTAATTTTGAAATATTCTCCCAAACTAATTCCCACTGCATGTTATTTTGAAGTGAAATTTTAAAGCATTAAAACTTGTACTAATTATAATGTTCGTTACAGAGACTGACATTTAGAATTTATTTATAATGTATAATACTTGACATCGAATTCTATTACATGTACATGAAGGATATGGAGATAACGAACAGTTTTCAATCTCAAAGTCCATAAAATACAAAATAAGAGCAGAGCAAACATGGAGCCCCGAAACCTCAGAGGTGGGATCAGGTGCCATGGAGGAGTGAACATCCCCTGCCGACCGGTCACGTCCGCCGTGTGCTCCTTGTCATGATCAGGAAATACTCGAAAAAATCCGTTGTCAATTCAGTGTATAAATAATGGACTGTCTAACAATTGGTATCAAAAACGTCAGTCAACATTTGACTCGATGATAAATTGTATTTGCTGACACGTCATTGAATCGACCATAGAGCTTCCGAAATTATCTTTTTAAATGAGACTGCTGACATTCTTGTTTCATAAACTTGTTCGTCAATAATTTACCTCGTTTTAGAAATTGTTCATACGTAGAGCATGCTCTTGCGTATCGAATCAACTGAGATATGTCTACTCCGTATGCAGGTGATGAAGGTATTTAATATTTTAAATTTGATGTAGCAATATTAATTCTAATTCAAAGGTTAGTATCTTTTCTAAAAAACAAAGTAGAGAAACAAAATAAATCACATACGAATTTATATTCTATAAAATATTTCCAATATTTTTACAGTATTTTTATGCATAGATTGACATATATTTGTAGGTGCAGTTTTGTTTGTTTTGAAAACATTTTTTTGAATAATCAAAAGAAATGGAAACACGTTCTTCAACTTACGAGTTCTTCTCCTTAAATATAACTATATGTCATGCAATTTAAATTCCTGTTGTACATAAAAATATAAATTCACAAGTGAAGTAAGTGAAATATTTGTTAAGTAGAGTAACAATTTAGAATCTACAGGATTCAGCAAGAGCAGCAAAATATATGTATTAGTTTCTGAACGCAAATTTATATCACCATATTATAACAAATTTGTGCCAAAATTGACCAATTCGTCAAGTTAAAATAGGCGATTAAAGAGATTATTCCTAGCGTTTGGATAATTTCTACAGGCAAATAAAGAGATAAACATCTTCATACTTTCCACATACACATAAAGGGCTATCAATAATACTTCTTTGTAGATGTAGATCATAGTGCAGTTTTAAGACACAATGATTAAATGCACGTTTCAATTCCGTAGCGGAGTTTGTGTGTACTATATTCTCTTTGTCTGATTACAAAAATTATGTTAATAGGAATATCCTCGTCTTCGTTATGTTAACTGATTGTTGATAGAAAAAGATCCCTCCTTGAGCTGAGAACTCGTCAACATAGGTTATTTCAATATAAGGTTTTATGTACATAAAATATATATTTCATACCACAAGTCAGATTTATTGTCCATTGACCATTTAAAGAACATCCAAGCATTCCTGATCCTTTTTTCTTGAAAATATATTTGTGACACTGCAGATGTATTTGTCTGTAGATCCCTATTGCGTCCCATCTTTCCAAACTGCCGGAGTCAGCGCCTCTTACAATCGGAGGCATTCCACAATCTGTTGACATTTCAAATAAATCAAAATTTAGCCGTGCATATGTTTTTAATGAAACTTTCATTGATTATCTCCTCACAATGGAGTTTGAGAAAATATAGTGACTCGCTTGTGTGTGTGGAAGGTTAAGAGGGTGTAAGGGTTTGTGGGTAGGTTTGTCCTGTGCGAAATGGAAGTGACATAATTTGCATCAGGACCGATGGCAAAGGATGCTTTAATCTATAATTACCAGTATGCTTTTTGACAGGGGATGCTCCCTTTTGCGTTGTCCTTGTTAGTGATTTTTTTCTTAAGTTTTGATTTAAGTGTGCATGATTTAAAGCATGTAGCGAACAGTCTAATGCCGAAAAACATTCTATTAAGTCAGAGAGCTATTTAATTTTTGCAGAGATTTCAAAAAAATCTATTACAATCCAGGTTCCCGAATGCATGTTGACGTAGTAATTTTCTGTCTAATTATTAACTAGCCATCAGTTGCCCGCCTTGCATACTGGTTAGAGCGTCTGCTCTACAATCGCAAATTATAGAGTTGATCCTTAAGGCGCCAGTTCGAATCCAACTGTGAGACGCGGAGACCGTTCCTTCGGATGAGACCTTAAAAACCGAGGTCCCGTTTCACGAAACGTTGGCACAAAAAGATCCCTCTCTGCTCAATGACTCCAAGTGCCGAGATTAGGACAAAATTTGCAGCTCTCCACCGGCAAGTGGTGGCGTCTCCATATGAGACAAAATTATCGAGAGGGACGTTAAACAACATAGAATTAGTCTAGAGTCGCGTTGTATGGAGTGGATCCTTAATCCACGGGTTCTAATCCCACTGCTTAAAAAGGAAACTGGCCCTTATGAATCCTATAATCTGGGATCCGTATAGAGGCACAAAAAAGATTCATCTATTCTAAAAGGATGACAAGACGAATAAAGGCGTCTTGGTGTTACTTAAATTCCCCGAGAACTTGAAACAAACAAACTTACCTGATAGTATACATTCATAATTTCCAAGGGATTTTGGGATGCATTTTTCATTTATTTTGCACCCTGCCTTCGAACAAGATCCTGTTATTTTCTGTAAGACATAAGATATTAAGTGAATAATGAATGCCCATTCAAAATCTATTTATTGCAGTCATCAAAATAAAAAAATAAGATATTTTTGTTTTATTATTTTGTAATTCTTAGATACATGTATTCTGTTCTGTTAATTCAAATCCTTAGTGAATACATCCTTCATATAAGACTTTTGAGCTTGATTAACTTATATTATATATTCACAATATGTTATAAGGATGTTGATTTATTAAAAGAACGTGTTTTTTTTTAATTTGATTTAATCACCGTGGAGATGCAAAGTTGTTTCTTTATAGCTGTGAATTTATTATATTATCGCATCAGAGATTTGGAGAATATACACTATAGTACATTGTTGCACATTCTAGTGCTCGGAACAAATGTTGACTTATATCTCCGGATCGATGTTGAATGCTGCTAATCAGAACGAGGCGAAGCCCGGTATGCTCAAATCATTCCATGTTTCCCATTATTGTTGAGTCCCTGGCATACTCTCCTAACTGGACAGTGATTCCTTATATTTCAATTTTTACTTGAAATAAAAATCTTAAAATAAATCGAAATGCCGTCTAATTTAGTAGATTTAATATGCACGAGGCTCCATGACGTCACATTTTACTATTAAAAAAATAGTCCCATAAAAACAAGAAACAAATATATTGATTATTTGGTTACTGAAGTCAAATATCAATATTTACATAATAAATATCAAAAGAATTTTAAATTATGATCAAAGCAATCTTGTTAACTTTAATTATATATGTGACCTAGATTTAAGTTGTCGGAAGCACAAACACGTGTATATGCCCTATGTCACTTCTCCACCGCCATGTTGAATGTAGTGCAGTTGATGAAACGGGAGTTGGTCAGCATGGTTAGGAAATCGTTTTGTGTGGATGTTAAAATAGCAGAGGAAGTTGAGCTGCTTAAGAAGTCGGATGGTAATGACCGAGGGACGATGTCTGTATCAGATGATGGAGGGAAGATCTATGTGACAATGCCGATTTCTCTACGTGGTTCAGATGTTTACGGAAGTGGGGTTCCCGGTCTCGCGAGACCTCGGTGAAAGTAAACAGCGTTGCGCTAGTGAGTTGCTTTTGATCCAAAGATGATTCATTATTTATTTTGTTTGTTAAAAGATATATTATATCTAATTACTTAGTAAACAATAAAAAAAAACATCTATTTTCTTTAGTGTATTTATACGCCAGTGATATATACATTCAGTTGACATTTGACCTTTCAGTATTATCTCAATAGAGAAATTTACATGCCACAGGCATCACGGAGAAATTAACAAGATTCACTTTCGTAGTGTTTATCATAGGAAAAACAATTGGAAATGGAAATATAAAAATATAACTCGCATGTTCGCATAAATAAGTTGAATGTTCACATAAATAAGTAGCATCTGAATATATTTATCTTGCATGTGAACATATATTTCTTGCATATCTTAATAATTATCTTGCATGTTAACATAAATACCTTGCATATCTACATAATTATCTCGCATGTCAACACAAGTAACCCACATCTTGTCATAATTATGTTGCATCTTGCATCTACGGTGTCAGATACGGGCGTCAATACGGGATTTTACCCACTTTGAATTAAGACATGGGTACTCTTAAAAGATATATAACTTGCATGTCAACAAAATTATCTTGCAAACCAAACATTAATCTTAAAGGGACGAAATTAGCTGTACCAGTTGAAAAAAAATATGTAAATGTTATTAATTCGTGTGCAAACAATACAAGAACTACTGTCTTCCAAAATTTAGATCTGTATCACAGCAAGCTTTAAATACAGTAAAGGTCATTGATTATGCCTGTGATTCTTATCTCATATCAATTGTTGGCGCTACCCTAGAAAGAGAGTTCCTTTACTATTTCCAGCTGTGTACGTTATCAGATGCTCGCTATGTGATACAGTAAATTAAAAGTACAGAAGACAATTAAAATAAATAAAGAAAGAAATTAAATCGGATGTTATTGACAAAGAAAATATGAAATGTATGTATACAAGTGTGAATTAAAAGACTGCGAAATTAAATATTTTCAAAAGTAGATAGATTGTGTAAACGATTAATAAACCATTCTATTTTGATGAATTTTTAGTCTTTAGTCAAGAAGCCAGAAGAATATCAATCGTGCATAAATTTATCAATGAAAGTCATGTAGTTGAATTACAAGAGAGCGAAATTGAAAGAAATGTAATATTACATGTGCATATGCATACATATGCATATCAATGAAAATAGAAGATTTGAAATTTAAGAGTGGCTTAATCACGAGAAATGGAAGATATTGATGTGCACTGAACACTGAAAATGTCAAATTTATTGTCAATTAAAGAAAATAGTGAAAATATTCTGAGTGCATATTAATAATTTTATTCATTTTGCGCTCTTTGTAAGTTGTAATTCCCTAATCGTAATATTGTTGAAGGTTGGTCCTCTTAGTTTGAAATATTTGTGTAAAAAGCTGTTTATATCTATTTTCATCATAGCACATTAAACACATAACCCAGATATGCATCAGAGACCTCAACTCATTTTAACATTATATGTTCAATACCATCAAGTCACCTGTGCGGTCACTTTTGTGGTGCAGTGGTCAGAACATATGATCTAGAGTCGCGAAGTAAGGAGTTTATCCTTATGTTGTGTGTTCGATTCCCATCGTGGAATTTGGCGACCGGTCCTTCAGATGAGATTGTATAAATTGAGGTCCTGTGTCGCAGTATGTGCTGGCACGAAAAAGATCCCCACTTGCTCAATGGCCCTGAGTGCCGAGTATAGGTCACAATTTGCAGCTCTCCACAGGCACGTGGTGGCAACTTGTCATATGAGTAAAAATTCTCGAGAGGGATGTCAAACAACATACAAACAATACCATCAACTCGTAGCAGTACTTTCAGTACTTTGATTAAATACAAGAAATGTAAGAAGAATCCTACCTTAAGTGTTTTATTATAAACTCCAATAAATATCATTGACAAATACGTGTATCTATTATTCAGTTTACTCATTTCAAAAGGGTATCAATTTATATTGAAAATTATGAAATGTACAAGAGTGTAGGGATAATTATTACACACGTAGAGCTCAATATTGTAAATGAATTATTCATTGCCAATTATTTTCGACAAACAATGTTGTATATAAAAAAAAACTCGGACAATTCTAAAAAAAAATATATCTTAAAAACTACCCCAATATTACATATATTTCACATGATTCCTCCTTTAATGTTTCGGAGGTCCGTGTTTCCCTTGCTCCTATTTTGTATTGTTTTATGGACTTTGATATTGAAAACTGTTCGTTATCTCCATATCCTTCCTTCAACAACTAAATATATGATTTTGTTAGAAAGATAACTTGTGTTCCACGTTTTCTGAAATAAAATGAGCTATAAAAACGATAAAAATTTAAAAAAAAAAAAAACAAAACCAAAACCAAAAAAATAAAATAAAAAATATTTTTTTCAAAAATTTAAAAATCGGACACCAGAAAATTTTTTTTACCTCCCTTCGCCCTCCCAGAGTTATGAACCAATACTCTACTATAACTTTACATTTTCACTACAAATGTACATGTATATAACTTGTTCAAAGATTATTATAATTATTGTATATATAACAGAGAAAAGTTTTTTAAGTTGCACGAACTTTTAAGCAATCTTTTTGTATGAATTATGCAATAAAATGTTTTCAATACAAAATCAACTCATTTAAAAATGGTTACAAGAGGATTTTTTTTCGATAAAAGGTCGCTTCGTTTAATAAGATACTCCAAACAAAACGCCAAAACATGGGTGTTAGTCATTCTTGTCCTTTGCGATATCCGCATATTCATACATTCCATATTTATATTTTTCCAGTTTTAAAATTTCATATTTATTTGGGCAACAAAATATCTGACTTTATCTTAACTCTTTTGTTTATTGATTTCTTGTGTAAGTTGTTCTTTCTGATTTTATGTCGATAAAATCAGTGCTTTTAAGATGCAATGCAAATAAAAATTGAATCAAAACCAAAACCAGTGTCAGATCAAGTGCATCGTTTATAAGATTGCAACTTGCAAGAACACCAGATATATGGTTTCAACATTAAATATCTCGCATTTAAAACATTTCTTGAGTTGTGAGACATTGATTAAAAACTTAGAACATTGACGTGAAATTGGCACTCAATTTTATAAAAAGGTGTACCGTCTTATTTGCGAGTCAATGCCAAATCCCTACGATGTAATCTTAAGAAATGCAACCGTCTTAATGCCCGATCGACTTACAGGCAAGTATAACTGATAAATCACAGTATCCAATATAATAGCCATTTATTACTGCATGACAATTTTGAGGATAACAAATTTTTTTTAAGCTTAAAAATGCATTTAAACAAATCAGGAACAGAGCAAACAAACTGGACATCAAGTTCCAGTATTAGATAAGCATCACCTGTTACCCTGGCATGTGTCATGTACTCCTTGCTATGATCGGTATATTTAAGGAATGTTTTTTAGTTTTGTGTGAGTTATTGGTATGTGAATCACAGAGACTTGTCACGTAGGCATATTTCATGAAGCGCGCACTAAACTGAAAAACATTCCTTATATTTACATTTTACATGTTTGGAAGCAACTAAATTAAGCTAAATATTTCAATTTCTCGCTGCCCTATATCGTTGCATTTTTACTAAGGTCGCTGCAGCCTCATTGTTACGTCACGTTAACTCACGTTTCTCCGTGTATATTTCTACGCGTGAGTATACACAAAAATGGTTTTCAAATCAATTTAACAATTGGCTTACTAGAAAAACACAGCGAATGTAAATATAACGAAATAAAAAAAATCCATCCATTCGAAATTTTGAAAAAGTGGATAATTTATTACCTCATAAGATTTATAAAATTAAACAACATTAAATGGTTTTATTTATAATCATATGATTAACTAATGAAATATATTTACCGGATCCAAGTCTTCCCTCTCGATATACATCCAATCCTTGTCTGACCTTGACCCAGTCTTCCCTCTCCCTATAGATCCACCCCTTGTCTTACCATATCCCTGTCTTCACTCTCCCTATAGATCCACTCCCTTTCTTACCATATCCCAGTCTTCCCTTTCCCTATAAATCCACCCCCTGACTTACCTTGTCCCAGTCTTCCCTCTCCCTATAGATCCACCCCTTGTTTTACCTTGTCTCAGACTTCTCTCTCCCTGTAGATCCTCTCCTTGTCTTACTTTGTCTCAGTGATTGATTAATAAGTTATAATTACCATATCCCAGCCCTCTCTCTCGCTGTAGATCCACCCCTTGTCTTCTTTGTATCTTTCTGGGGCTGAAGCATTGTTCTTATAAATGATTTCACAGTAATTTGCTCCTTTGTAATAACTCACAGATTTACATCGCATGGTTCTTAATCATTCTTCTACACAGTCTAGTATACTATACTCGGTAAAGGAATCAATCATCTTTCTGTCTAATCTGTAACCGAATCTTAATTTTGAATAACTGTCTTGTAACTTTCCTGATATAAGTAAGAATGTATCTAAAAGGAAAACAAAAGTATGCATGATTTTCATGTTTTCGGTCCTTTTCGATTTAGGACTACAAACAAACGCATCCTAGTATAGTTTCTGTTACAAAAGCCAACAAAGACATATAAATATTTAATTAATCATTGACATAATAGTTACAGCAGTCATTATCTCTCAATAGACACGGCTCCTATCTCTTTGGTGTAAATTTCAGTCAGTGTTATTAAATGAAGCAACAATATTGTACTTTTTCTAGGAATAATCTTGCTGTAGCACCATCGTTTATGACTGGTCTGCATTTAAAAAAACCCAATCGAACTAAAGCTGAGAATTTATATGTCGGACTTTTTTGGGGAAGAGGCTAGGGAAAGGACTTTTTTGGAAGATTGGGAGCGTGATCGGGTGGAGGGGTGTTAAATGATAATCAAATTAAAAAAAAGTCGTTGATCAGATTGGAGAATCTACAATCAGTCCTTTGTACGATGGCGTGTAAATTGTAATTTAAAATGTTTTGCGGTGCGTCCTATAGAGACACCGCTGTTTTGCGCTATCAAATTCCTATACTATGCTTATGTACTGGCTTTCTTCAGTTCGATAAAGGAAATTAGAAAAAAAAGAACAAAACCAAAAGTTATCACTTCGTATTGATGGGGATCGAGATTTTGAACTCCTCGGACAGAAATCGGAAATATTCGAGCCGTTGAAGTGACTTATGACGCATACGATACTGTTTGTAGCACAATGATGGCATTCATTCCTTTTTTGGACTCTTTTTAAGTAATTAAATGCGTTAAAACAGTCTAAAAATAAAAAATAACATCTATCAATCTGTACGATATTGACATTTACTGTAAGCTGTCAAAACATTTGTCTTTCAACTCTATGAATCCATTTATGTACGCTACGAGGGTTGATCAAAGGTACCTGTTTTATCATAACTGCTTTAATATAGAAGAAATTGTTCTGATTGTTTTTTTATTCCTAAACTAAAAACTTATAATTAATTTGCAAAAGGAATGCAAAACAAAGATTCAAAATTTAAAAATACTTTGAATACTGAGAGAAATGGATGAAAACCATACGTACAGAAGTTGACTTTTTATTTTGAAATCATGGTTTTCAACAGTAAACTTTACATAATTTTTGAAATTTTATCAGTAATCTAGCAAGTTACTAATTTGAAAAATTCACAACTTATAGCATTTAACAAGGCCTTGTTATTTTTGATTTGAGTGTATTTACAAAAATAATAATAAAAAATAATATATTTTGCAATTTTGATTATTTACAGTATGTTTGCTTAACCGATAATCCAGAATTTAAAAACCTTCTTGTTTTTAATTGATCATAATTCTTATCAAGAGAAAAAAATTACACAAATAAACTAAAAAAAAGCTTAATGTAATACTGAACATTTCACAAAAATGTGCATTTTTTTTTCCTGCTTTTAAAATACTTGTGTCTAATGTGCATGCATAGACTGCTTTTTTATCTGATACGTGTTGGTGATACAACCCATTAGATAAACTTATGCTTTATCTACAGGTAGATGCTTCATCAATAGCACTTCCGGTTTTGAGACGATCCCTCGCTTCAAGATTTTTTTTATTGATACTTTTATTCGTGAAAATTATTGCCCTAACAAAATGAATGATAAAAAGCGATAATAACGTTAAAAGCAAGAAAAAGACTTGTATATGTCAAACAAGTGTCTTATTTTATCAAGGAACTTGTAATAGCTAATTGAAGACAGAAGATACCCCCACCCCTATAAAAAGTTTTCTGAAAAAGTAAAGCCTATCAGTTAAGTTGTTTTTTATAAGATTCCTTTTACATCTTCAATAATGCTTTCTTATATTATACTACGTACGCCTACCTAGTAATGTAGGTGTAACTTACCATAAATCAACAATGAATCTACAAGAAGGTCCCTAGCCTTGCCTATGACACGTTTTGTACTGCCATCGTCCAAAGAGTTTATTTTCACGATCCCATGGTCCAAAAAACTTTCAGTCAGATGTTCGTTTGAAGTAAAGCACCATCAATTGTCACATGATTTTTTCAAAGACGCAGATAGCAAAAATTTTAAATTTTGAACACAATCTACTTTTTTTTTTCGAGGCATGTCAACATCAACGGTGCTACGTCATCAAATTATACATCATCAATTTGAATTAGCAATCATTCATGTAGTTTCGCAGGGGAAGTCTCAAAGTTTTGTTCAAACAGAAGTCGTATGAGATAAATAGAACATCTATAATTGTGTTATAAGACACCCCAAACCCTGTAAATAGTTTTCGGAGAATTACACAAAATAAGTAAAATTTAATGAAATTGATACAGGGGTTAAGAAATCATTTAATTTCTTGATGTACGAAAGGCACATTTTTTCATATAATATTCTTTCATTCTTTGTTCCAGCGACAATATGTACATCTGACACTTTTCAGCCGGCGACAATATGTACTGATAGATAACGATGAGAGTAGTCGCCGACGACAATGCGTACAAAGCGACAATATGTAACGTCACCAACCTCCTTCATTTTATATTTTTGGAGCTGCATATCTGGTGCATTTATTGGACATTATCGGTGATGCTCTCTTCATATCATATTCAATACAACGTCCAGTGGTCTCTAATAATAATAATAAAGAGTAAAAATATGAACGCTAAATTTAGATTTTTATTTAACAACGCTCGACAGGTTTCGACCTTTTTATTAAAACTAACACTTCATAGCTGTATGCATAAAATGATTGACTGTTGAAAAACTACGTTAATTGTCTTGCAATTTTTCCTTATAATAAATGTAAATGAGCAGTTATTAAAATGCAAAAACAAATTACATGTAACCAAATATATACAGAATTTGCACATGACCATATTTGAATATATCTCTTTTAAGAATATTATTGTATAAAAGGAAAAAAATACAAAAATGACTATTATAATTTCCAAAAAAGAAAAGAGAAAACAAACACGCAAAAACGCAAATCTTAAAAGGATGTCAATGACACAATAAAATAAGTGCAGTATATTATAAAATTGTTAAATATATAATCTAAAAAACAATTGCAATATTCTGTATATACATGTACACGACAAAATAAGTATAATATAATATTATAACATATAAAACTATGAAATATGATATAAAATAACATAATATATACTATTACTCTATGAAAATGTATAAATTTAAATGAAATACAATTATAGATTTATGGAGTGTTCGCATGAGAGGACGTGGATCCAAAATTAATTCCAAAAGAAGGCATGGTCTGGGTAGAGAAGATCAAGTTACAAATATATATCAGCAAGAATTCATTGTTACATTTAAAATCCTAGAAAAACAGAGATGATAAAACTTATCTTGTGTTGCGAGTTCAGCAATTTAATCTCGAGAAGGATTTTTTAAAAAAAAACAATCTACATTGTTTAAAACAGAATGTAGCTTTTACATCGAGTCATACATTGTTTCTGTTCAGAACTGAAAACATATATAATCGGCGTTCCGAAGGGGTCGTCCCCCCCCCCCCTTTTTCTATAAGGGGTACCTAGATTCATATTGTCTCATCAAAAGAAACTATCTCTACATACGTATCACTGTGTGAAACGAACATGCGACGTAAGAATTCAATCCTTGCTCCGGGACTCTTGAGCAGACCCTACAGTATAACAACTGAATTACGCATCGGGTGTCGTGTGAGGGAGGGTGTGTGTGTGTAAGGGTGTGTGTGAGGGTGTGTCTCTGTGTTTTTTATTGTCCCTGTGCAAAATATATGTGACCTAAATTGAATTAAGATTGACTATGCTTACAACGTATGAATATCTATTAGCTCATTTGCATAGAAATATCCATATTTGTCCTTAACTCACTTGCGTATATAAGAAAAAATATCGTGAAATGGTGTGTCAATCCCTGAATTAAGGAAAAAGAGGAATCCAATTCCCTTATCACTGCAGTGTAGACTTGATTTCCTGATAAGATTTGAGAAACAGGGAGCCCGAAGTCAAAAGTAATGCTGACACGAAAGGACAACTCCAAGGCTTTGTGTGCCAAGGATAGGTGAAATTTTTTGATTTGCAGCTGGTAGGGTCCCTAACGAAACACATTATCTGAAGTTAACTATAGCTTACTATCAATAGTTATATACTTAAACATGTAGTACCAAAGTAAACAAATGGTCTTTGATTCTCTATGATATTAACTTTGGAACTTTGATTTACTATATAATAGCAAGTAGACTCTAGTTTAATACCATAGTATTTTAAGGGGTTTCAATATATTTTAAATGGAAGTTAAATAAAAAAAAATCTTTGAAACAAATTTTTACAAATTGACGCCATAAGGAGAAAGACTTTGGTGGAAAACAGTCTGCGCTACATTTCCAACAGTATAGAAGATAGCGATTGTGATACAGTCCCGGAAAAGTTCTACTTTCCTACCGAAATAAACGCTGAACGAACGGTGAACGAAAGCTGAACGAACGCAGAGCGAACGGTGAGTGAAGAATGTGTTAACGCTGAATGCAACTTTTGACCCAATTTACACTGAAATTTTAAACTTTTACTTTGGCAAAGTCTTTTGAACAGTAGATAACAGGACATTTATATTTCACATATGTATTTTTATTAAATAGACCTTATATTAGAGACCCAACATCCTTGACCCTTTGACTTTGACCGTGTGGATTTTCGTACTTGTGAAAAAAAAACTTTAACCTTGGCCATGACTTTTGAAGGGTAAGGGATAGGGCTTTCATAGTTCATATATGTTATCCATGTGAAGAGACCCTTTATTAAGTACCAAGAAGTTTGATCCCTTGGCATTGACCTCAGAGCTGACCTATTTAAAAAAGCAAACATTGACCATAACTTTTAAAGGGTTAGGGCTAGTGCTTTCATTCTTTGCAAATTTAATCCTTGTGACACGACCTTTAATTTGATAACAAAAACATTG